GGCTCCATACCATAGTTCCTGCACTTAAAAATTTTTAATAGCCAAAAGGAATCTCATTAAATCCAATTAATGGTGTTGGTCTCTTCTCCCAAACTGCTAATGATAGGGGGAGAGGAAATGGCCTGAAGTTGCACCAGGGGAGGTCTTGATTGGATATTAGGAAGATTTTCTTTACTGAGAGAGTGATTAGGCACTGGAATGGGCTGAGAGGTGTAGTCACTATCCCTGGAGGTGTTTAAAAAATTAGTAGGTGTAGCACTTGAGGCTCTGGTCTAGTGGTTAGGGAGATGTTGGGATGAAGGTTGGACTTGATGATCCTAGAGGTCCTTTCCAACCCTAGTGATTCTGTGGTTCTATGCAGGGGCTGGAAGGGTTGTGCAGAAAGTGAAGCTGGTGGGATTAAATGAAGCCCAGATAGCTCAAGCGATGGCTGCAGAGCCCAGCTGGGGTGCTACCCTGGCCACCCATGTTTCCCCCTCCCCATTACCTTCCTCCCTGCCTCGTTGTTGTGGAGGTTCATTAACGCTCTGTTGGAGGAGGCCCCTTTGCTCCTCTCACGGACGTCGACGAAGGACTGTGAGAAGGCCACGCCGTAGGCAATGTTGTCAGAGCAGCCCGACCACTGGAAGCCTAAGGCAGAGGGTGCAGATGAGACACAGCCAGCTTGTGTTGTTCATCCTCTCCAGCCCTCCTCTGGCTAAAATCTACCTGACCCACCCCTCTTATAGCAACCGTCCAGGACCTGAGAGGGACCTACAGGAAAGGAGGGGAGGGCTATTCACAAGGGTTTGGAGGGGCAGGACGAGGGGTAATGGCTTTAAGCTAGAGAAGGGCAGATTTAGGTTAGACATTAGGAAAATGTTCTTCAGTATGAGGGTGATAGGTCACTGGAACAGACTGCCCAGAGAGGTGGTGGAGGCTCCATCCCTGGGGGCATTCAAGATCAGGCTGGATGAAGCTTTGAGTAGCTTGATCTAGTTTGAGATTTCCCTGCTTATTGCAGGGGGGTTGGACTGGGTGACCTTTGGAGGTCCCTCCCAGCCCAGACATTCTATGATTCTCTTCTGGCTTGTTGTCCACTAGGCTTGGATGCCTGGGGAACTGGGGAAGCTGGGGAGCATGGCCCTGGAGGTCAACAGCTACAAGATGCTTGCTCTGTCCCATGGATTGCAGAGCCTGG